AGGGAACTCTGGTCCCTGTTTTTCTAATACTGGCTTGGAGAGACAGGGCTTAGCAGAGAGGCTTTACCATTTTCCAAGAGGTTTGTTGTTTCTAGAGCCATTACAGGTGATTCGCCCATACTGATATCTCCAGGTGAATCTAATTTCTGCCCTTACAGAAAGAGAAATCTCTGAGAAGCAAAGACCTGAAAGGCTTTTTAGTTTTTAGAGAGAGATTAAGTTTTTCCCAAAAAAGCTTTCATTTTTTGAGAGAGAAAGACCACCAACTTTTCTCAAAACTTCTGTTCTCGAAACTTTGGCCTCAATGGCCAAGAAGAAACTAATTCTGTTGGTACAGTGTTTCCATACAGTGATAGTGTCAGCAGAGTGAAAAGTTTTATTTCACCTGAATCCACCTCAGGGAAAATTCTTTCCCCTGCCACTTGGGACCAAAAGCTTCCCACAGGAATCTTTTTCTTCCCGTTAAGCTCTTCTTTGATAGATTTTTCCTCTGATTTTTCCCAGTCTGTGTTCCTAGTCCCATAGTTAGAAGATTAAGGACATAGTTTCTCTGTCTTGTTGCTTATCTTATTCTAAGTTTCCTTAACACTATATTCCTACATTCTACTTTACTCTATACAGTATATTACAACACTCTCCTTTCCTTAATTTTCATAGGTAGAAGTTAACAGAAAGAGAAAGAAACCTAGAGAGAGAGACATCTACGCTGGAGCCTTACTTTTCAACTTTGGCATTTCACTGCCTAACCTTTACACCCGAGAATAAAATACAGTCGCCTTCATCTTTCAATTCCCATTTGGTATGCCTTACACCCGGGATGCCCCTAACCCCTTTCTTCAAGTCCCTGGGTCCCTATTCAGTGGTCCCATCTGTGGGAGACCAGTTCCCACACTTATCCCATGGACTCTTGAGGAGCGAGAGATAAAAGATTTAGATAGAAATATAGAGGAGAGAGACAGTTAGAAACACAGGACAGCCTCAGGAGGGCCTGGGTCAAAACCCACCAGCCCCTTCTGTCTCTTCTAAAGGGCTTTTAGAAGAATGCCAAAGGGTGGAGCAGAAGACCTCCCCCCAGCACAGCCAAGTACAGACCATCCCCAACACCTGGTGACCATGCACATGGTCAAGCCATCCCCTAAGCAGCCCTGCTATGTAAAGCAAGCTCAGATCTCACTAGGAAACCTTTTGTGGGTTCCCGCATTCGGGAGAGTGATACCCTCAGCCACCTCAATCAAATAACCACACATCAGCTCTCTTCAAGACACTTGGGCTTGTCTCTAACCTGCATGGGTGAAGAAAAACAAGGGGAGTTCCAAGAAGATCTTCAACAGAAGACACAGGGCTTAGGCAACAACTCTATAAGCCCTAAGCAACCAAGGGCCTGAGCATTTATAGGGGATCCACCCCACAGCTAAAGTTGACCTGCAGAGACAGTGTACTCAAAGGTATGGCCAGGGTCCCTGTTCACAGATGACTCCCACAAGGCACACTCTGCAGACCTGAGTTTGCTGCAGACCCATTGACGGTCAGACACTGCTGACACACACTTCAAAGCCAGACAGACACAAGTTCGAACCCTGGCTCTTTCCCTTGGTAGCTGTGGGGACCTTGGGAAAGTCATTCCTCTCTCTATCTTGATGCTCTCACTATTAGAAAGGACAATGTCATTCCTTCCCTGGAAAGTAGGTAGGACTAACTGTTGTAAAATATTAGTTTAAGATATGTTGCATTTGTTTATGCTGTGGAGTATTTGTTTAATGATGCAAAGATGTGTTGCATTCTTTTATGCTGCATTTGTTTAACTCTGTAAAGCTATGTTACTCTTCCTGTCTAAAACACCTGATTGGTTCAATAAAGAGATGAATGTCCAATAGCTAGGCAGGAGAGGGATAGGCGGGGATGCCAGGCGGAGAGAATAAGTAGGAGGAGAAATCTAGGCTTGAGAGAGAAGAGCTAGGAGCAAGAAAAGGAGAGGATGACACCAGGGGCCAGCCACCCAGCCACACAACCAGCCATGGAGTAAGAAGGAAAAAAAAGATATATAGAATAAAGAAAGGTAAAAAGCCCAGAGGCAAAATGTAGAAGAGACATGGTTAATTTAAATCAGAAAAGCTAGTTAGAAATAAGCTAAGCTAAGGCCGGGCATTCATAAGTAAGAATAAGTCTGTGTGTATTTATTTGGAAGTTGGGTGGTGGGCCCCCAAAGGATTAAAAAAGAAAAACCCAACTATAACTAACTGCTCAATAAATGACAATTTTTGTTGCTTGTGTTATTGAGAACATCTACCACAGCAGGACAGAAGGACCTACTGCTCCAAAGTAGCTTGGTATAGGAGAATATATCCTATACCATTAAGAACATCTGGGAGAAAGCAGATTTAAATAAGGGCCTCTGAGGAAACAAAATCACATATGAGATGATACTTCTGTGTATCTCCTGGGGCTAGCACAATGATGCCTATTTCTGGTCTAGTGGTTTGTGGAAAGGTGCTAAACACCAAATCTCTCTCTCACAGGACTGAGGAACCTGGTTTCCCCTCCCACTCTGGCTGGCTTGTTTATGTGTTGAAGTGAAGCTTCTCATAGCATGTCCCTTCCCCCTTTTGCATGAGGAGAAGGGTGGTGTTACCCTGGGCACAACAGGAGGTACCCTCCAGGTCCCAGCAAGATGCTCCTGGTGAGTGGCCACATCTCCAGGTTGAACTAAGACCTCACACATGCCTTTGCTGGTCCTTGGCGGGAGAACGAGGCCAACATCATTGTGTCAAGGACTGACAGCTAGCTCAACGGTTCCGACAAAAGGGAAGATGTGATTATGTACTGATGGAGATGGCTGTCTTTCCTTCAGCCTTTATCAACTAACATATCAGGTTCCCACAACTACCCTACTGCCAAAGGCTAGAAACAGCCAGAAAACCCAGACCAGCCAGTAGCAACTGACATCTCAGGGCTTCTGGGAACTAGAGGGTCTGCTTTGTTTAAATCTTGTTTGTTTGTGTGTTTTTCAAGAAATGGTTTCTCTGTGTAGCCCTAGCTGTCCTGGAACTTGCTCTGTAAACCAGGCTAGCCTTGAACAGGGAGATCCACCTGCCTCTGTCCCCCGAGTGCTGGGGTTAAAGGTTTGTTTAAATCTTTAAGATGCTTCCTTCTCTCCACAGGAAGAGAGCTGTCAACAGAAACCAACTGAAAAGCTTCCCCAAACCATAAAATCTACTGGGCTTGAAAGGTCTGAAGAGGTCCAACTGGAAGTCCACCGGACTCCCATTATTCTCACACCACCTCTCAATTTGAATACTCACACGTTTTTAAGTTTCCCTCCAAAATGTAAAATGCAGAGCTGAGGAAAGGACACAATGAGTAAAGTGTCTGCCGTACAGCAGAAGGACCAGATCTCCCAGACCTACGGAAATGCCTCGGAACCCACGTAAATGTCAGGCAGGCGTGGCAGCCTCCCCATAATCCCACCACAGAAGAGCAGAGGCAGGAAACCCCAAGAGCAAGATGGCTGCTAAGACTAGTCAAATACACACATTCAAGAGAGAGACCTTTCCTCACTGGATAAGGTGGAGAGCGATTGAGAGAGATACCCATACATTTTATAAAAATGTAAAGTGTATGAGAAACTTGAGAGAAATCTGTAGCTCAGAGGACTAGTCAGATCCCTGAGCATAGCAAGAGTCTCCAAAGTGTGACGACTTGAATATTAATAATTCCCTCATTTCAAAAAAAAAGGTGAATGAAACAGGCTTGATGAGAGGAAAATGTCAGGACAACGTTTTAGAATTGGGCTGAAGAAAGTTAAAGACTATTCAAACAGAAATTTACAATGCTGCTCTCCAGAGGCTTGGGGTTAGGGAAGTGGAAAGACATACATCAAAGTTTCTACTTTCAATTTTAAGTTCTGGAAGTTTAATGTACAATGTGGTGGTTATAATCAATAATGCTGCGTAGCTGAAAAATGCAGACTAAATCTTAGGTGAATGCAAGCATGCACACAGGTGGTGCCTTCATTAGCCTGACTGTGATAAGCAATGCAGTGTCCACATATATCAGAACACCACACTGTATCATATGAATGTATCCAATTTTTCAATTATGCCTCAATAAAGCTAAGAAAATACGGAAGGAGAAAAGGGCATCCAAGATTTGCACCAACTCCTGGATATATGTCACACTGAACTGGAATCAAATCCGTGCTGAAAAAGCCTCCACATGTTCACACAAACATGGTGAGCACAGTTCTTGTGGGATCACAGCATCTTCTGCGGCCCGGTGGTGTGGGTCTAGCCTCTGAGCTACCCACTCCTAGGACGTGAGTGTACACTGTAGTCTAGCCTCGGAGTGCTTCTGACACAATGAATGACCCGATACAAATGAGTCCACCCCCGAAACAGAACCATTCCAGACAAAGCTCTTTCCCTAATGAGGTAAAACACTGTTTGGCTCCAAATATTGAAAGCTGCTGACTGCACACTATTTTAATAATACATGTGCGTGTACTTTGAAAGACGGATATCCATTTGTAAAAAACACCCACCTATGTTACTGGGCCATTGTAACACAACTTAATTCCCTTTCAACCCTTTCTGCCATGCAAACATACATCCTGATACTCTCTCCCAATGTAAAAATTTGTGGGGGGATGTCTGCCACCCAGGAAGCTACAACCTAATATATTCTAAGCTGCCCCAAGTCAGGGAAAGCTGAAGGAGGTGGGACTACAGATGTATCTAACTCTGGCCAGCTGAGTAGTTCTGCGACAATGTGAGAAAAGCTAAAACTAGAAAGCAACCCAAATACATGCATAAACGCTTCCAAGTCTCTGCAGTCAAACTCTGGAGTTAAATGGCATTATTAACAGATGGAAAGAAAAACCAACGTGCTTTTCATACTGTGACTACATGTGTGCCGAACTAGGCATGTGCATGGTTCATGTGCGCATGCACGTACATTTTTACATGCATGTGTGTTTCGCATATCCCACTAACTCTGAGTCATACCTGCCACTGGTTTCCAGTCTGCGCAGGCACATAAGGTGCTGGGAGACTCCGAAGGCTGTTCTTCACAGGGGATCCCCCAAGGGGATTTCCCACATCCCCAGAGGAGGACTCAGCAGACAGAGCCATCGAGTACTGCGGGTAGTTGTACAGGTTGTTGTAGTAAGGAAACAGAGATGGCTGGTAAAAGCTGCTGTAGTAGGCGGGGTCAGACACCAGGTCAGGTGCGTTCTCAGCATGCCCTCTGCTGGTGACAGCAGGAGTATCCTGGATGACCATGCGTCCCTCTAAAAAGGAAAAGAGAAAAGAAGACATGTAAGATTTAGTGTGGGGAGTCCACAAATCTTGCCCTCTAAACCTTGGCCACGCCTGAAAGATCACCCTCCCAGGTGAGCAAAGAGCCTGGAAATGCAAGGGAGAAATCATCCGCTGCTTCAGCCACAAGGGCAGGGTTCCAAGGCTGCTTCCTGCTAGCAGCACAGCTGAAAGGCCCTTGCCAAGTTATTTTTTATTGGGAATACCAAATGACTTTAGAGGTAGATTCAATTCCATAAAGCCTGAGAGTACAGCCTCAACATGCCCCCCTCAAATGTCCAGAAACTGGAGATCAAATCCAGTTAACCTGTCTACGAATTCTTACCACATGATAAAGGAATGTCACCCCAGGAACAAAGGGAGGGACTGAGTTTGAGCACACATTGTTTCCTTTATGTCCTTCCAGGGCGAATACTGTATTCTTTAGTATGGACCAGAGTATGGACCAGGAATAGACCAACTTGTTCTGCAAAAGTACAGTTAGCACTACTTGAACTTCTGTGAACCAGCCAATCGAGGCCGTGCTGCAATAAAGGCTTTTTTCACACAATTGAGAAGAGAGTCGGTTTAGCCCCCAAAGAGTAATTAACCCATCCCATTCCTCAGGATCTGCCAAGAATCTGGGGATTCAGGTAACAAACTCTCTGCTGATTCTTCAGCTGAAATGGAGGAGGGGCTCCACTGTAACCGGTCTAAATAAGAGACTGAACTAATGTCTCTGGCCTCTATCCAATGGACATTCATTCAATGTTCTAAGAGATGAGCCAGCCCCTGAAACGGCAGGAGCATCCCCTGTACTATCTACAGGGAGCCTGCAGTACAGGGCAAAGGCTGTGGTGGGATTTCCAATCATCCAGTAAAACAGCAATGCCCACAGACTACTATGGAAATTCAGAGGAAGGGAAAATTAGCTTGCAGTTTAGAGAAGAATTAGACCTTTGCAGGAAAAAAAAAATCTGCACCACACTCTGGAAAAGGAAGGAGAGAGCTAAGGATAGGGCTGAGTGGTGAATCTAGGCCCTGGGTTCAATCCCTAGTGGTGGGGGGGGGGGGTTGCCTTTATCTAGTTCTCAAGATGGGATGTAATAGAAACCAGTGAAGATTTGTGAGCTGGAAGGATGGTGGACAGAGTTGTGCTATGGGAGTTCCACCTGATGGAAAGTCTTGGGAAAAGTGAAGGAGAGATGAGAAAGACCAACTATGGAGAGACACAAGATCAGACAGAGTACATCAGCTACAAATGGAAGGGTACCCTGGTGCGGGAACATGTAGGACATGAAAAGAAAAAGAGATGGCGGAGGATGGGACATCAGGACTGAAGATGGGGGAGGGGGATGAAGAGCGGGAGTCTGTGTGTGGTAGAGGGAGGGAGGGGCATGTTCTGTTTAATGTAGACAGCGGGGCTCAGTGAAAATAAGGAGCTTGAGACTTCCTGGGAGCCACGGAGACTGGAAGCTGAGGTCCGGAAATCACTACCCGGCAATGGCGACATCTGGGGAATGGGATGGAGCTAAGGCATGAACTGAGGAAAGCCGAAGCAACATCACAGAAGCCAAAGGTGCCACAGACGGCAGAGGCTCCAGCTGCAGTGTCAATCCCTGCTCAGAAACCACCCAAGTCCAGAGCTGGTCAAGAGGAAGACGGGTCTCTGAGATTTCCCACTGTGCTGTGAAGGGAGCAACAGCATCTGGCCTGCTAAACAGCACCCACCCGGCAGCTCATAACTGCCTGCAACTCCAATTCCAGGGAGCCCAATGCCCTCTTCTACTTCTACAGGCACCAGGCACACAAATGGTGCACATTGATCCTTTCACATATACACATCAAAAAAATAATAATAAAATAAAATAAAACAATTCATTGGCATAATTGGTCATTTTTGATATCTAATCCTTTTGTATTCAGTGTTGGGTCCTTTAATCTGCTTACAAAAGAGACATAAACATCTCAAAAATGACAAATCATGCAGACATTAAAAAGAAAGGGATGAATGAAGTCATGGATTATCCAGCCCTGAGTACTGGTGGGTCATCTAAGTAGGCCAAGCTAAGTATCCCAATAAACAGTGGAAACCCTCAAACTAAGATTTCCACCTCAAACCAGGCACAGTGGTACATACCTCTGATCCCAGCACTTGGAAGGCATAGACAGTGGATCTCTCTGAGTTTGAGGCCAGCCAGGTCTAGTTGGTGAGACCCTGCCTCAGAAAAACGTTAAAAATAATTCCAACTCAAAATAGCTAGAAAACAAATCAAAATGTCTATGTGTGTACACATACATACGTATAGACATAAAACTTTCATGAAGTTGTTCTTCACATACAAACAAGAAATACACTTCATTCTGAATCAAAGGAGAAAAACAATAAGAACTAAGTACACCAACGCTCGCATTCCCTTGGTCTGGGTGTGAGTTCCTCCAGCCAGCCTCCAGGCCTCATGAGTATCATGTGTGGTGGTTTGAATGAAAATGGCCCCTATAGGCTCATAGGGAGTGGCACTATTGGGGGTGTGGCCTTGTTGGAGCAGGTGTGGACTTATTGGAGGAAGTGTGTCATTGGGGGCAGGCTTTGAAGTTTCAGATGCTCAAGCCAGGTCCAGTGTCACTTTCTCTTCCTGTGGCCTGCCAATCCAGATGTAGAACTCTAAACTACCTCTCCAGTACCAAGTCTGCCTGCCTGCATGCTGCCATGCTTCCCACCATGACAATAATGTATTAAACCTTTAAACATAAGCCAGCCCCAATTAAATGTTTTCCTTTATAAGAGCTGCCATGAACATGGTGTCTCTTCACAGCAATAGAATCCCTAAGACATCATGTCAGGGTCCTTTAAGTTCCACAGCCAATACCACTGATACAAAGACCAGAGGTATGGACTGCAAAAGATGCATCTTAATGATTGTGTTGAAAAAAACTGAAGCTAGACGCCACTCTGTGTCTTTCTGGAATGAAAACTTGCCAATATCGTTTAATGCTATTAATAAGGGACAGTCCATGGCATCAAGCCCAAGTAAAGGCGGTGCTTTTCTTAACCAGTGACCCCCTATAGGATTGATCATCAACTCAGTGGTTTTTCTGCCATGATGCAAACTGTAATATAAAGTCAGATCTCTCTCCCCACTGCTGGAGACTGAGCCTAGGGCCTTACACTTTAACCAGACACTCACGTTTGTTTTTTTGAGTGAGGGTCTCCTTACGTAGCCCAGCCTGGCTTCAAATCTACGATCCTTGTACCTCAGTCTAAGTGTTACGATTACAGGAACACACCACCACACCCAGCAAATCTGATGTTTTAAGTGTAATGACTACTGGCATACAGTCCTAATCTGCACAGAATACCAGCAGGACCAGATTCAGCTGGAAGGGTAGCAGAAGGCAGAGAAGTGGGTACCATCGCATACACCCTGAGCTCCTTGTCTCCACATATCCATGTGCAGGCCAGCCACTGTAATGCTCACACATGGCTTGGTACAGGCACCTTTTGAACATCTCATTCTCCGACAAGCCTTCACAGTCCTGTTACTTTTTTTTTTTGTACTAACATATGCAATGTGAAATATGATTCACTCCTTCATGAAAGATCAATACCCATACATGACAAACACCCTTATTGATCTTGAAGTGTTATATGCTGGTCTCTGGGCCTGCAGCATATTAATAGTAGTTAACCAGTAATTCATTTTAGGTGGGTGAAGGCTTTCTCCTCTCTTCTCTAGTGTCACGATTCCCAGCACTGTTGCACTTTAAACCCTCTATTCAAGCTTGGAATTATACCCAATTCTTATGCGAAGGAGGAAAAGGACCACCAACGAAACCAAAATTTACCACTGCCAACTGTTCTACTTGATTCACAATGAAGTGTCTTCACAATGAAAAGAAGTGATTTTTTTTTAAATGTGTAATTCTATACTTTGCAGATATCTGTGCTACTTAGCTTCAAAATTCTATGTGTTGCCAGTCAGGAAAAACCTTCACCAGTAAATATGAAACATAAGATTACGCTTCACCAACTAATATGAACTCAGAACTAGGAGGTCCCTGTTTGCTTAACACTGTCCTTTGAATATGACATTCTGTGGATCTAGAGGGTAAAATGGAGGTGTTCCTCACTGGAACAAGAAGACAGACTAGCTGGCTGCTTTTTTTAAAAAATCATTTTCTGTAGGACATTCCCATGTCCATATTAATCAGCTCCTGGAACGTCCCACACTGAGGAACAACTCAGTAATCTAAGCCATGAAAGTGCTGAACCAACTGGCTGTTGTGTACCAGTTTCCTCAGAGACTGAAACACCCTACAGGGAAGCTCCTTAAGCAGGAAGGTAAACAGCTCAACAGCTTCAGGAAGTCCCTGAGATTTAGCAGATTCACTGGACTCCTGCCTGACAGTAAGCAATAAAAGCTGATGCTGAGCTGAAAAGAAGACTCTCAGACAATCTGAGCTGCCTGGGAGAGGCTCCGACCAACTGAGGCACCTGGAAAGGACACTACAACCTGTTGAGCTGCCTGCAGGCTGTGCAGTGTGCTCCAGGCTCCCAGCTTCATAAGCTGTCCTAAGTGCTGGGATGGGCCTTGATGATGCAGCTATCTTGAAGTCATTTCTGCTCCCATAAGTAACCCCTCACCCATATTCCTGTAAGTAACTCCGACAAATCTCATTATTTCGCTAAACTGGACTTTGGTGGTATCTCTACTTTGGTCTGTCATGGGTTCCCTATGTGAAGTGAGTAGATGTGTGTGTGTTGTGTCTCTCCTGAAAAAGTTACCACACAACAGAATTGGTGCAAGAACAGGGACATAACAGAACCAAGATGAGTTGGGGAGAGTGAATGCATGGCCCTGGCTCTGAGTTGCAAGGAAGGCATGCAACAGAGGCTGAGAAGCCTGAGGGAGACCATCTGTGGAGGAAATTCCAAGAAAGCTGTCCTTTCCTGTGTGGTCTGTGTTAGCGTGCCTTTGTGCTATGACTGTGG